GAAGTAACTGTACCAGACGTTCTATCACACTGCTCCACCCTCGCTGAAGGAAATGTGTTTGAAGCACAGCATGGGATGGGTGGGAAACGCATAAGAAGATGCATTAGAGTCTGCTGACAACAACACAGAATAGCACATTAGTTTGAGACTAAATAAGGCAGAGCAGCAGAGAAGATAAAAGTCTCCTGAGAGCCGAACTGTTCTCTCTGGTGTCTCCATTAACCACAAGAGCTGCTATCTAGCAGTCTGCAGCAGATTGGAGCTCTTGCTGGACTTCAGATATCTCTGAGAATTAAACTTTGACCTAGAATTGTCAGGTGATGTTAGGCAAGAAAACAAAGCAAATGTTAACAATCCATATATGACCAAACTCGAGCTTGATGTAGGATACTTTCAGACCTAATCAGTGCTAATTTTCTGATTTTCATGCTTAAATCTGATTGAGGATGTATTAAATGTGGCCCATAGCATTTTAAAAAGCACACTTTAATCTGGCATGTTCATCATATACAAATATTTTTAATATAGTTTGCATTTTTGTGTATATTGCATATTTTGTTAAATTCAATTATTCTTTTTTAATTAATTGTATGGATTAGTTTTAAAAATATAACTAATACTGGTCAATGCATGTGTCAACATTTTTTATGTACTGTACATAAAAATATATTTTTTAAATATAACATATTTTTATTTTTAGAAATGAATATAATTTTGAATATGTGAGATTTATTCAAAAATTACACTATTATTCAAAGGTGTCAGTAAGAGTTTTAATGTTTCTGAAAGAAGCCTCTTCTGCTCATCAAGGCTGCATTTATTTAATCAAAAATACAGTAAAAACAGTAAAATTGTAAAATATTATTACTATTTAAAATAACTGTTTTCTATGTGAATATATTGTAAAATGTAATTTATTTCTGTGATGCGCAGCTGAATTTTCAGCATCATTACTCCAGTCTTCAGTGTCACATGATCTTCAGAAATCAGTATAATATGCTGATTTGTTGATCAATAAATATTTGTCCTTTTTTTATTTTTAAATTTTATTAAATTTTATTGATTGATTTATTTTTTTAGTATTCTTTGATTAATAGAAAATTAGAAAGCATTTATTTAAAATATAAATATTTTTAATGTAAATGTATTTGTCACTTTTGATCAATTTAGTTAATTTGCACAATGATTTGCATTAATTTCTTTAGTGAATTTAGTTTTAAAACAACCCCTTGCTGAACAAAAATACTAATTTCTTTAAAAAATCTCACAAACCCCAAACTTTCAAATGGTAGTGTATAGTATTATATCACTTTTATCACTTTTGTGTAATATTTCATATAGTGCAAACAGATACATTTTTTATTTATTTCAATGAAACTAACCCAGATTGAAACTGAAAATTCAATTGAGATCAGATGTGATTTTTGCTGGTCACACTGTTATTTAAAAACAGATTTACCTGGGTTGTAAATGAAGCCATTGTGTCTGATATTTGTGCATAATGCAGTCCAAAGCCCCACTAAATTTCTAGAGACTTACAGAAGTTCTCTGGAGAGAAAACTGCAATCTGATGTTTCTTCCAGCATAATTCAGTTTCTGGTCAAAACATTGTTTTCTTCTTAAGTGCATCTTTGGCTGGTTGGTGTGTATTTTAATTACCCAAAGATGGAGAATGAAGAAGGTGGCACTATTTGGCTCTGAAGCGGAGAGTCTGATCAGTGATACCGTCTGTTGTGAAGAGACTGAACCCAGATGGCCGTCAGATTTGCTCTTGAATTAATTGGAGACGTTGGACAGTGTTCTAATGCATTGAATATGTCCACTGCCGCTTCCAGCCTCTGGTGTAATTAAGTATCCATTTGGCCACAAAAATGTAGTTTTCAGCTAAAAACCACTTTCATGTGTGAGTAAAACTGCAGATTTGTGAATCAGATGTCTAGCTGATGTGTGCAAGAGTTTTATATCAAGTAAACCTGTATCTGTGATTTTTAAGGTGGTAGTTTTCTTTCCGGTTTTATCGTCCACCAGGTGCGAATCGCCAGTCTGAACACTTACAATTTACCCTTTGAGCCATTTTAACAGAATCAGTCTAATTTTTGTTCTTTTGATTCATCCATAGTTGATGTCTAGATCAAAATGTGTGCTTTATAAGGGATGCTTTGAGTGTCTGACTTTAATTTCCGTTGTATTGTTGTTTCTCAAAGAAGAGTGAACTGATGCTCTCGTCTGATCTCTGGCCCTGGAGACAGACTGCTTCTCATTGCAATCTCACTTTGATTTATGCCTGAAACTTTTCTCTTTTCCAATATAAAAGTTCTCGGAGGTGCAAACACAGGTTACTGTATATATTGCTGTAGTAAATAACTTCCTCTGAATCTCAATCTAATCTTCTTTAACCCTTTAAAACCTACTGGATCGAATGTGATACATGAATTTCTAAAGCTCTAAATGATCAACATGCTGTTAAACCTGTTTCACACACAGTCTACTCAATGCTTTCTTTCGTCTGATTGATCGTTTAGAGTGTTTTATCCAGTCAAAGCTCTTTTAGTGTAATTGTACAAGTGTCCAGCTTCAGCTCGAGTCTTTCTGCTGTCAAATCTTGACTGATTTTGATCAAGTAAAGGTCAGAATAACTGCAGTAATATCTCCAGATGAACACTTACTGGACTGAAGCAGCTCAGCTTTACTTGATTCTCCATCAATCATGTTTTAGAGTCTCAAATCTGATCCTCAGGATCTTTTGAGGAGCGTTTGTTTGCAGAAGCTTTACTTTCACTGTTCCTCAGCGGAGGAATGATCTTCACAAGCCTCCAGAACATCTCACATCTTCTGAGGAGTGTTAATTCTTCAGCTCTCAATCAGCACTGCATTATATGTTTGGATCATTTAAATACTAAGTCATATTATTGGAGATATAGAGTGACGACTGATATTTATATGCATATTCATTTCCATTACAAGCAGAATTAGAATTTCATCTTACTTTTTGGCAGTATAAAGATTAGAAAATGCACCAAATGCATTGCAAACTGCATATCTGAATACAATTGAGGTGTTTTTTTCTCCTCGAGTATGAACTCCATATTTTCACTATATCTATATATGTGACCCTGTCTGTGAAATCCAGGCTAAAGTCTCTAAATCTAATTATGAGATAACAAGCATCGCAGTTTGATTTCAACCATTAATTTCACTATGATTTCAATCTTTGACATGGCAATATTAAAGATTTAAAGGTTATGTTTTCACAGAATGTTCTACATCTTTACAGTAAATCACAAAAAAATGAATGAAAATGTTCACAGGCAGGGTCACATACGAGCCATAAAACCCTGATTTCTGATGATACCTAGCAAGAAACGCAACGTATGCAAACTTTTAAAAAAAAAATTAGTCTAAAGGTTCAATGAATGGTTCCCTTAGAAAACTAAATAATAATAAAAAAAAAGACTATTATTTCATATGTCAGTCTTAGCAACTGCAAAGCTGCATCACGGCACCATGGCATCAGGTTTGCACAGGCATTATGTTTTTGTACACCATTTTCTCTTAGGCTAGTTGATATTGGCTGTATGCCAGAGTTTTCCTCTCACATTCACGTTGTGAAAAGCCAAGCCTGACGTTAAGCTGGAGTGTCATCAAACCTCAAATGCACAACTGGAGGGCTAAAAGAATCTCTGGTGTCTTTCAGGAGGCTGGTAAATGTCAGAGAGCCGAATGCTCAGCGTCGTGTTCAGGGAAGAAGTGATTTAGATGATCTGTCAGCCATGAATGAGTGCTGTCGCATATAGCCGTGTATATTTCTCTTTGGGCTCTTGATGGATGACTCCTAAACATTAAGTAAGAGCAAAGCAAACTGCGATTGGTCACTTTGTATGTTTCTTTCTGTCTAAATGGGTGTTTTTTTTGTCAGAATAAACTGTCGACCATTTCAATATGCACTTTTCAGAATGCATTGTGAAATTTATGTATTGCAACTCATTTACAAAATGAGTTTTGTAATCAATGCTATTTTTCTGGTGCAATAATGCACTTAAACGGCATTACTGCTCATAGAAGGTCATCATGGCAGCAGTAATTCATTAAATGATGATCAAATTATGTAGAAGAGTGTTATAGTTGCATCTATCGAGATGCACAGTGTAGTCAAGGACACTTTCTGCATTGTAAGATCAATTCAAGTGTTTTCGTGATGCTGTACAGTCACATTAAACTCACCTGGTTGTTGCATAACTCCACAAGGTACTGGGTTGATATTATGAACAATGAGTGATGAAGAACTAATTTCCAAAGTATGCAAGGTTCGTGGCATCAGATAATTAAAAGATGCAGTTTTGTTTGAGGAAATAAACTAGATATGCACAAGCAACTGTTTATTGAAATCTGTACTTATTACTTTCGGATGCACACTTTTCCACAGTTTATTTGATATTTTATGTACTTGTAATAGACAGTTTAAGTTAAACCCGCCCCTAAACAGCACATAAAAACAAAACAAACTGTGATTGGTGGCTTTGCTTGTCCATCAGCCAGTCTCTTCCTGTCTAAATGATTGCTTTTTGTCAAAATAAACTGCTGTGTGTCTTATTTTGATTTATATTTTATTAGGGCATTTCACTTTGTATGAAGTTTAAATAGATTTAACACATCCTTAAACATTACTGAGAAACAAAGATGTAATGGGAGCAACATACAAACACGGATGCATATGTAATTCTGTCATTTATTTGCACTAAAGACAATTTTATAAAAAAAAAAGTGTTTCTAAACTAGTTCTTCGTGAAGTATTGACATAGGATTTGTGTTCTAAAGTTAAACAGAAAAATATTTTGACGACACTTGGGAACATTTTATCGATAATTAGCATTTACATCAGCTATATCTGTAAACATTTTGATGTGTTAAATCTTTTTTCGTAATAAAATCCTTGGATGGAAACTTGGTAACAGATGCGATTGCTGATTCTCTGAATGCTTTCCTCTTGTGTCTTCTTGCAGATGACGGGAAGCTGTCCTTCGAGGAGTTCAAAGCGTACTTTGCAGATGGGATACTGACGACCGACGAGCTGCGCGAGCTCTTCTACTCCATCGATGGACGGCAAACAAAGTAGATACTTTATTCATAAGATTTATTCAGTAGCTACTCATAATGCAGTTTAAGAGAGACGTCATTATTTTCTGTGCAAACATGCCTGATAATCCCCCCCACCCCCCAAAAAAAACACGAATGTGTATTTTTCAACTTCAAAATATAATATTAAATATTATATATTATGTTATATAAATAATATTATTATTATTTTTTATTATATTAATTATATTATACTAATTGTTATATTATATTTTATTATAAATATTATTATATAATAATATATTTTATTAGATTATTTTGTAATTTATTTATTTGTTTATTTATTTTGATGGCAACAGTTTGCAATACACATTATGAGATAGCCACTATGCTAAATAATATAGATTTATGCAGATTATCTACATTTTTCATTTTCTCATTTTATAATCCAAATGCAGGAGTGTGATATTTCCTTCAATATATATATATATATATATATATGCTTGATAATTAAATATGCCATTACTGTTTATAGAAGGCATGGCAGTAAACAAAATATTATTTAAAAATACCTTTATGTACATTTTTATTGATCATGGCAGCAGTACTTCATTAAATGAGGATCAAATGATGTAGAAGAGCATTATAATCGCATCTATCCAGATTCCCGGTGTTGTCCAGTACACTTTCTGAATTTTCAGATCATTTTCGTGATGCTGTACAGTCTCATTAAACTCACCTGATTGTTGCATCCTCCACAGACGACCTGCACTAATTATTTATGCCTTTTTGCATCGTTATCTGATTTGCATAATTCCTTTAGGGAATCAGGTGCTGAAACAACACAAACAGAGCGTGCAGTCAGTGGGTGCAGTTCATACTTCGTCAACTCTCCCAGCAGTTTAGCCCTTGAGTTTGGGTGACCTGTATCCTTGGCAACCTTACATTTTCGTTTCCTAATTAGTCGCCTTTCAGAGAGGCGTGATTATATTGCTCCACACGCCGTTGCTTTTTGAAGCATCTGTAACGAAAACGAACAAGCAGCCGAACATCGATGCGCAGGAGGATCAAAGTATGACCCGAGGTGGCTTGTATGAATCAAAACATTGAAAATTGTGTTCCAAGAAGCCAACGCATCGACAGAACAAAGCTGCAAATTTGACTCCACAAAGAACCGCATTGCAGAGCTGTGACACACACACACACACACACACACACACACACACACATGCACA